GGTGGGTCAGCATCACGCCCCGGCCGGCTTTACCCCCAGGAAAGGACCCCGGTACCCATTGTAGAGGAGGCTGGGTGGGCCCCAGAGGCTAGAGTAAAAATCCTCTGCCCCCGTCGGGGATCGAACCCCGGTCGTCCAACCCTCAGTCAGTCACTACACCCACTGACGGCTATAACCGTAAATGTTTAGTAGACAAGGTTTTATGAGGGGGAGAGGTCGTGGCCTATTTCATATCGTAATCTGGGCATTGTGGTTTCGATGCAGAAAACGTAAATCGGGGGCAAATATAGCTGAGGTCAGCTTCCAGGTTCTGATCGTCGCACTCACACGAGTGAATCCGCGGTGGCCTCAGCGTCGTTAATCAACCGGGGACAGAAAGCTGACGCACTTAAAAGCGTCGCGCTCCGAGAACCGGCCTGTACGACGCCAGGTGTACGCACGCAGGCGTGTGACGCGTTGCAAATGTTCAAAATGTTACGTACGTTCGAACAGCGCGTGTTTCTGCGCGCGGAATTTAACTCCGTTAATAAATTCCTCCGCAGAAAATTTCGGAAGTTGCTTACTCGCTTTGGTCGTGAATCTTGAGATGCCCTGGTCGCCAGTAACACAGAAATATCCCCTCCCCCCCCTCACTCATTGGGGCATTCGATGCCCGATTTTCTAAATTCCTTTAGTCACGACTGAAGATTCTGAAATTGAAAATCATCACGAATGAATTCCAACCAAAGAATAATTAATTTTAATTTATTTACTAATTGGTTATCTAACGGCGACTTGTGAACTCACACGTCATAAATTATCACCAAATATTAGGACTGATCACGTGACGACTAATTCTGAAAAGGAATTCGTCGCTTTGTCGCGTGGCTGCGAACTTCGGCGGTGGATTAGAACCGCGTTTTAGTGGAGCATTTAAATTTTATTTGCACCAACAAATTAAGCGGGAAATGGCTGACAAACGTGCCTTTTCGGTCGAATGCGCTCCGTAATCTTCGTGGTAGAATCGTTGGCTCACTGTGTCGATAACAAGAGAACATCTGATTTTTTATTCCAAGTTTTCGGATACGCCCTGCCGCAAGTTGAAGGCTTTAGTCATATTTCGGATTCTCGTAATGCCAGTCGGATCTAGTCACGGTTCACGCCCTATCCTGTGGTAAGACAAGACAGACGCACTGAGATTCGAACCCGCGAGCTCTCGAAGAATGCTTAGTCACATCGTTTTATTACGCGAGACAAAGAAATATCAGAAAATGTTAAGACATTCAAGTATAACTTAGGTATCGCCTTAAAAATAAATTATCTTTATCATGAACCTGCTTTTACTTGGGGAAATTAAGTTAGTCTAATGAGATTTTAGCTCAAACGCCATAATAAAGTAACTGAATTTCGACGTCGCTTCGAGAGGTAAAATTCTCTTCTGTGACTCATACTTACTGTTGGGGGGGGGGGGGGG